CGGCGGCGGCGGCGACGCTACATGTCTTGATTTTCGACCGAACGAGTATTGAGAAATACGCGTTCGATCGATTCATCAGCAAGTGCCGAATCCGTATTACACAAATTAAATGCGAGATTACTAATAAATATTATACTTACCAATGAAGTGAATCATGGCGTCACTTGTTCCGATACGTTCCGCGTTCATCGCGTTCTGCAAATAAAACATGAATGCGATTAAAATAGTGCAAGTGTTTCGTTTCCAGCATGGTCAATTTCACGCGCAAATAGCGCCACCGTACGCGCTGCGGCGGCGTCGGTGCAACAGCGGCGCGAGGTGACGCCGACGCTATACACATTTCGATTTTCGGTCGAACGAGTATTGCGAAATACGCGTTCGGACGAACATCAATGCTTGCGTGCCGATTTTATTAGACTGCGTGTTAGACAAATGCTGCACATACAAATATCACTTACCAAATATATCAGTCGCGACACTCCTCGCTCCGGAGACGATCTATCTTATGTTCGTTGCGTTCTGAAAATAAAAAAATATGCTATTAACGCTATAAAGGCGATGTGGCTTCGTCTATCGCGCGACGCGGCGGCGGCGGTGACGCTATATGTCTTGATTTTCGACCGAACGAGTATTGAGAAATACGCGTTCGATCGATTCATCAGCAAGTTCCGAATCCGTATTACACGAATTAAATGCGAGATTACTAATAAATATTATACTTACCAATTAAGTGAATCGTGGCGGCGTCACTTATTCCGGAGCCGATCCGTTCCGTCTATCGCGTTCTGCAAATGAAACGTGAATACGATTAAAATAGTGCAAGTGTCGTTTCCAGCGTTGTCTGTTTCACGCGCCAACAGCGCCACCGTACGCGCTGCGGCGGCGTCGGTGTAACAGTAGCGCGCGGCGACGCCGACGCTACATATATATTTCGATTTTCGGTCAAACGAGTATTGCGAAATACGCATCCGATCAATCTTGCATCTAATCAGTGCGTAATATAGATTCAGCATTCGAACTCTGATTCGGTCGAATGCGTAATCGCAATACTCGTTCGGTCGAAAATCAAGACGTGTACCACCGCCGACGCGTCGCCCGCGCCACGACGCTTGTTTCGCGTAAGCTGACGGCACGCGGAACGAATTACGCCGCTTCACTATCTTAGTTATGCGTTTATCCATATGTTCGCTGTATGTAACGTACGCCATACTTATGGATAAATGCATAATTAAGATAATAAAGCGGAGCAATTTGTCCCGCACACGGTCAGCTTACGCGAAACAAGCGTCGCAGCGCGGGCGACGCGTCGGCGGCGGTGGCAACGGCGATAGTGCGGGGATGCTACATGTTAAATAAATGCAAAGTCCCACTTACCAATTATATTAGCCGCGACGCCTCTCGTTCCGAAGATGATCTACCGCGTACCGAGTTCTAAAATTATAAAAAAAGAAATGCTACTAGAATAGTGAAGCGGTTTCGTCTGTCTATCCGCATTCCGCGCGATCGACTTCGCAGTTCGCGTGCCAATGCGCCACCGTACGCGCTGCGGCGGCGTCGTGCAACAGTGGCGCGCGGCGATGCCGGCGATGCGTCGGCGAGAGTGGCGTTAACAGTGGCACGCCGACGCTATACACATTTCGATTTTCGGTCGAACGAGTATTGCGAAATATGCATCCGATCAATCTTGCATCTATTTAGCGCGTAATATAAATTCGGTATTCGAAATCTGATTCGATCGGATATGCATAATCGCAATACTCGTTCGGCCGAAAATCAAGACGTGTATACCGCCATCGACGCGTCGCCCGCACCGCAACGCTTGTTTCGCGTAAGCTGACGGCACGCGGGACGAATTACGCCGCTTCACCATCTTAGTTATGCGTTTATCCATATGTACGCTGTATGTTAACGTACGCCATACGTATGGATAAATGCGTAATTAAGATAGTGAAGCGAAGCAATTTGTCTCGCACGCGACAGCTTAACAAGCGCCGCGCCGACGCGCAACGCTGGACGCGGTGAACAATTGTGGCCATGCGAGCGAATTAATTATATAAATTATGATTTCGGATCAATTTTCAATATTGAATCTTCATAATAAATAAGAAATTATTCTCAGGAGTAAATTTTTTCAGTATGCTTTAAGATTAATTTATATATATATCGAGATAATTCATTTTAATGCTTGGAAGCATTAAAATAAAGCAACATAAAGCAATAAGCATTCATGATGAAACATAAAATTATAGAAAAGAACATAAATTTTTTATAGATTACATGTATCCGCTGATCCGCATAGCAATTTCCTAGCTCCCTAATGTATTCGTGTTCATCCATTTTTTTGCAGCGTATGAGCTGAGGCTGTACGTATCGTCGGATCATTCCTACATAATGCGACGCAATGTGACGCTCTCCCAAACTTGATGCCGACTCAGCGCACTGCCGGACTGTCGCGCGCGCGGCTCGTACGCGCCGTTTATATAGTACCCCTACCTCGCGCTCCAGCCGCGAGTAATGAGCGCGCTGCAGTGCCGCGCGCGCCGCACTCCAAGCGCTCTGATTGGCGCGGCGCTAGCTCACGAGTTTGGTATATAAACGAAACGCTAGCGGGTAGAATGCTTCTTGTTTGTGAGACTCCGTCGTGATCGCGTCGGCACTCGGCGCGCGGCGCGGCCGCATGAAACGTTCGTTCTATAATCTATAGAAATAGAATGACTGATGTTCGCACATGCCTCTTTTTGTCAAAGTCAACATGCACTCAATGTCTATTTGTAACGTAACTTATTTCTAAATAAATAAAACGGAAAATGATGTTAGATCCTTTCTCGCCTATTTCGCAGCGTCGGAAATTGTACTCAATAAAATTATATCTGCAGTGAGAACCGAGCTGCGATCCACTTGTTGCTGAAGCGCTCTGATTGGCGCGGCGCTGGCTCACGTGTTTGGTATATAAACGAAACGCTAGCGGGTAGAATGCTTCTTGCTTGTAGGACTCCGACGTGATCACGTCGGCACTCGGCGTGCGGCGCGGCCGTATAAAACGTTCGTTTTATAGAAATAGACTGATGTTGGCACATGCCTCTTTTTGTCAAAGTCAACATGCGTTCAATGCCTAATTGTAACGTAACTTATTTGCAAATAAATGAAACGGAAAATGATGTTAGATCCTTTCTCGCCTGTTTCGCAGCGTCGGAAATTTTACTCAATGAAATTTTATTTGCAGTAAGAACCAAGCTGCGGTCCACTTGACGCTACAAATGCTTTGAAGCGTTTAATTTGATCAATCGGAATAAAAAGAATTTTATGGACTGACCAATCAAAAAATGCCTCGAAGTATTTGTAGCGTTATGAGCGGCTATTTACGTGGGACCATCAGAATTCCCGTACCAGTATAATAAGCACCAGTATAATAAATGCATTTTTTTAATTATTATTACGTAGCTACATTTTTTTTTTGACATTATCGATAAAATCATAACGTCGAAAATAAATGTGGTTCGAGTATGTGCTACATCTACAAATAAAATGTGTAACACGTTATAACACGTACCTTTAACTCCTACCAGCTCTAGTAGCACGGACACGCGCATATTTTATTTGGGATGTAGCACAGATGTGTACAATTAATAAATTTACAGTATAGAATACGTATGAAATTCATAAATGGAAAAAACCAATTCCATATTCAAAACATGCTTATAAGCTATATGTTAGTGCGCCAACAAGTCTAAAATTCTGTAATAGGATTCGTATATCTTTACCTCACTTTTATCAATAAATGCGCTCAATTATTTCTATTTCTGAAATTCTAAACAATATACAATTTTTTTTAAACAATATACATGACACGGAACAAAGTTGAAGACTGTGTTACTCGTCGGAAATATTCGTAATCTGAAAGAGGACATGATTTTCGAATGCGCAATTTTTCGAGAATAAAATAAAGCCTTAGCAGTCTCAAAAAATGGATGTAGCACGCACCACAAATTGTATTGTATACCCGTATTATATACCCGCGATTTAGAAAAATCAATGTTGCTAATGTAGTTTACATCCACTTTTTTAGGGGCCGTCAGTGCACGATGACATTTTTAGGTAACACATGCAAAAAGCCGTCATGTCCTCTTTCAGGTTTCTTTCTGATTACCATTGACTTCTCTTTGCCACCGACAAGATATTTTAAAGATCGTCAATCCTGAGCAAATTTTTATGACTCGTGACCAACAAAGAAGGCCGATAGGAATTGTAAAGTGTTAATGTTATCGATTATTGACATAAATTTGCAAACATAAATAATTATTTAAATAATATGTTATTAAAATCATAATTTTTTATGATATAAATGCGTTATAAATAAGTGCGAATACTTGTAATACTATATTGCCGCAAAATTACAATTTTTTGCTATTGTTACCATTTTTAAGGGTAATTAAATACGAATGGTAATTATAAAAATGTTTTAAATAAAGTTTTAAATAAAATTAAATAAATTAAATAAATTAACTGTTAGCAAGTTGTAAATATATGTACACATCTAAAAAAACATTGGTCTAATAATAAATCATAAAATGAATATTGAATTATTAGCTAATTGCTTAAATTCTAGCAATTGCTAAACAACCACGCTACTCTCATAAGGTTGTCAGTCTTCAATAGTATCTCGTCAATGTCGTTATAACGACAGAATAATCTTATAAAAGCTCGCAATAAAAAATAATATATAAAAAGTATTTTAGTAGTATATAATATTTTAGCAAACATATTAATATTTTTTATTATCTTCAATTAAATGTTTTGTAAGAAGTCTTAAATAAAATATTTTCGAAAAAAAGCTGATGTTAAGAAATTTCTTATTTTTATGGTTTATTCAAATGATAGATTCAAATGATCCAGTATCTTTCAAATGATAGATACTGGATTGCCGAATAACAATTCGTTGATAGTCACGGTATGTTTACTTGATATGATAAAGGAAATTAAGGACACAGGTTTGTGTACAAACTTTGAGGGAAACCGTCCGTCGACTTCTCATTCGTAGCATTCAAAAGCTGAATGGATCACCGAACGCGAACATCAGTCTTAGCGTGAAAAGTATTAATGTGAAAACGTTTTAAGTGTTTCAATATATTAATTACGTGTATTCAGTAATCATGTCACAAATGAATAATAGTAAACTTAATCAAAATAATAAACGTAGACGTGTTACTGTGGATACCGTACAAACAAGTACGCCAATAACACCGTCCGTAAGGCACAATGTCACCATAAGCTTATCTGAAATCGATACAGCTTCTTCCTCAAGTGGAGGTAGAACTTCCCAGTTACAAGGTGAGAAAATATTATAAGTGCATAATTACCTCATAGAACATATATTACTGGAAGGAGAATTGCCTATACCGTCCATGCATCGAGCTGAAGTCAACATCTGTGCAAGAGAGAAAGGTATAAAATCCCAATTGTCTGTAATGCGCATGTGCCATTTAATCCCCACTTAGCCTCGTTTTTCATTTTTTTTTAAAAGATTTTCGAATAATAAGAAATTAGGCAAAACAGGCTGAATGGCACATGCGCATTACAGACAATTGGGAATTTATACCTTTCTCTCTCGCATAGATGTTGGCTTCACGTTCAGCACTCTATTCTCCTTCCAGTAATATATGTTCTAAGATAATTACGTTTTTATAAATTTTCATTCGTATTATACATGAACCATTTTTTGATAAAAATTAAGTCATTAAGTTTATACTAAGTTAAATATTCTTTTCTTTATAATATAATAATAAATTATAAAATTTAAAATATAATTTATGTTAATTAAAGTTAATGAAAGTTTTGAAAAAGATATCTTCAAATAATTTATTAAAATAAATTATACTATAATTTTGTAGTATAATTGTATATACATACCATTAATTTAATTTAATCTAGATCTGGTAAAGAAGCACATAAAACACCAGCACACGAAGGAAAAAGAGAGACCAGAGAAACGAAAAATAAGAGACTCTGATCTATCTAGTGATTGGGAAAAGGAAAAAGAATTAATTAGTAAGTGAACCATATTTTAAATGGTTTATATCAATTAAAATTGAGAAAAAATATAGAATTTTTTATAGGACTTTTTATATTAAATAATGTTGTCTTCAAATTGTACATTAAATGGTAAAAAGTATAAACTGTGAAACTAATATATACTTTTATAAATGACAGAAAAGCAAAAGAAAAATTTAAAGAGTCAGAAAAAAGCCACAAAAAGGGAGAAATTAGTGACAAAAGACACGGATAGCGAGTGGGAAACTGAATTGGAAAAGTCAGTTAACAAATTCTCAATAAATTCGCGAGGATCTACCCGGAAGAGCGATGATTGTATAGTACTGTTTAAGGATCCGTGTACACCGGAGAAAATTCGAGATGTGCCGTACACGTATAAAGAAATTCTGCTTGAATCACCAATTATACAGTCCTCTAGAAGAACGCTGTATCTTTTAAAAAAAGATAATATACTACAAAATGAATTGCTTCCGATTAATTTATTACCGGCGGAAGTACGAAATCCAGAAGAAACAAGTGAAGATGAAACAATATTCGGTATATATTTTGCGTTAAATAGGTTTTTTTATCAAAAATAATTATCGAGATTTAGTTATACAATTGATAATTGTTTAATTTTTCAAGTTTTAATTTTATTTTTACTTAAAAATATCTCTCTTATCGTTACTTATGTTTTAATCATCACTGATCAATTTGTTTCTTTTATTACATATATTATTTATTATGCACATATATATATTTTTTTTTATCAAATAGATACTATACACATCTGTATATATTAATTAACGTTTTCAAAATGTTTCTGCAATTTTATTAAATTTTTTATCTCTTCTATGTAACACTTGATCTTTTAATGTTTTATTGTATATTATATATAAACAAATTGTTGTTTTAGACAATAAAGGCAATGCAGAAATACATGTTTCATTACGCGAATCGGAAAAAAGTCCGAAACAAAAATCTGAAAAATTTGCCACATTCAAATCTCATTCAAAATTCCCGAGAATAACGAACAGCTTGCGTCAGAATCAGCCTGTCAAAACATATCTCGGAAAAGTTTCTCGGCATTCGGAATTATCTGTTACGCAGTCATCATTGTCACCAATTAATTACACGGATTTTATGCGAAGACTTCCTGATATTCCTAAGGAGATAGAAAGTCCAATTCCTCCAGGGATGATACGGTGTTATGGATATTACAATAAAGCTTTGAGAAAATGTATACTGACGAGGAAGTTTTTCTCAGGAAAATGAAAAACATAAAACTAAAACTAACGAAAGAAATACGAGAAAACAGAAAAGAAAAGTGAAAGCATCCCGATCCACATGTACAAAATAATGTACATGACGAAATAATTGAAATTGTTGAAGATACAGACTGAATTAATTAAAATTAATTGAGATGGTAAATAAATGTCTTTTCGTCAATTTTGTCACAAACAAAGGGTTAAAAGTTGAAATTATTTAAGAATTTTCCTTTCAAAAAGTGTCGTTTAGAAAGGCTAACCGATATATTAATTAAATTATATTCAACTTTATATTTAATATAGAAATTTGTATACATTAAATTTATTTTCTAATTGTTTCATATGCTCGTGTATATTGAAAATTATTAATTATTATTTATTATTTAATTACAATTTATATTTTCCAAGATATCTATAATTATTTATAATTATTATATATATCAGTATCTTTGAATTGTTAAACGATGCGTTGAATAAATGTAATAAAACATTCCTTTAACATACATATATTATTAAAAGAATATGTATAGTTGATATATTAACTATATCTATAAGAAGAAACTTTGTTAATTTCATGTTAACATAATTTTTCTATATAATAATTTACGTTAAATATATGTTAAAATGTTACTGCAATTATATTTATTGTTTTCATTATATCCTACATGCTATTGCAGATACTTGTTGGCAAAATTGAATGCATTTAAATACGACTCTCTTTACTATAGAAAATTGTAAAACTTTTATCAATTTCTTTCCTTAGTACGCATACACAGAAAAGATTATAATATTTTCATCTTTCAGTTGGAATCTTATTGTTTAGCATAATATTATGACTTGCAAATAAATATTAAATATAAATAAATATACATGCAATATATTAATATTATTCTGGGTCAGTAATAAATATAGTTAACTTACAATCAGATGCATAAGAAAATCATTAATTGTTCTATCTTTTTAGATTTATATTTAAAAAATAAGCAAAAATTAGAAAACAGTAATCATAATAGAATCATGATATACATATACATATGTATATCATATAATACACTTATATACATATAATACACTTTGCTTGATAGTAACGTTAGGTACAATATAAATTGTATTAATTTTTTTATGCTTGTGTGTAACGCGATACAAAATTATTCGAAATTATTTCATTGAAAAGCATTATATATAGGTGACTTATTGTTACTTTGTGGGAATTATCACTATTATTTGTAGTATTTTTACATTTTTTGCCAGCACGGTATTTGACGGAAATATAACGTGCTGCTAATTTTCAATACTTCTGGTGATATTTTTAGCTTGATCCAATCAATTTCTACGCAAGTGAATCGATTTAAAAATTTGTTCCGCCTTATAAATATTTTTAAAACAATTTTTACTTTTTGCCACCGGTCTTAAATTTAAGATAAACTAGCACAGTCTTTGTTTTTTTGCGAATTGGCTAGAACAAAAAATCGGGATTGCAGCAATTAATTAGTAAATAAGTAGCAAGTAATTTTTATATAAGTTGCATTTGATTGTGCTAAATTGGTTGTGCCAGCTTAATAGATGTAATTTTTAATAACATAGGCAACGCATTTTAAAATTAAATTATAGTCTTATCGTTGAAAAGATAAATATGTTCGAGCGAATCTTACACGTTCTAAAATTTGTCTATATTATTTGCCGCTATAGGTATTGTTTGCTTCACGAATGCAGATAATATATAATTTTTGATATACGTTGAAAGATATGTGCAATGTTATATTTAATTATTTTAATAAAAATATCCGTTCTAAATTTGTAATTTAAAGCCATATAGTTATTAGTTATATAAAATATGTTATTGTCAATCGCAGTAATTTTCAATATAATCTTAAATATGTTATAAAATTAAGAACATTAATAAATTAACGACCAACGTAATATATTACTGATCTACATAGAGCGGATAAGCTGAAATTGCAAAGTTAATATGTTACGTTTTATTATTATTATCTATTTATTGTCATTTCCATTGTCTTTATGATTAATTTTATCTTTAAATATTGTGCGATAAACGACTGTGATATATTATTGTAATTATCATATTCGAGGAAAGTGTATATTTTTGTAAAGTTGCGTAATCGGTTCGTTCTTTTGCGACAAGCCTGCTGTTTGTTCAGTTTCTCAACCACAATTGTGGCGCCGAAAAGATCGTTTATTCAGTTCGCGAAATGTAATCTTGCATGTCAAAAATGGTATAATTTCCGCCGACTTGCATTTATACTGCTGTTCGACAAATATTGAATTAATAACGGTTAATTCGATTGGATGTCCTTGATAGACCGTTTTCATACAGATTGATTAACGCTTGATAAATTTAATTAATCTGACGAGTTCTGTTTTGCCGAGCTTACAAAGATTAAAATATCATTTTTCATTTGTGGATTCGCGAGGTAACATTTCCTTTTTGCCGAGTGTGCACAATCGAAGTTGCGAAGTCGCTTCGTGTCGAAGAAACTTGCATCATATCTCAGCGTATTTTCAACGTTTGTTATCTAATCGAGTCCACTTGATTACTGAATCTGATCGTTCGCATTCAATCAGTACAACTTTTACCCTGCACTCGTGTAGACCTCTGCTTCTGGTGATTTAACCGACGAGAATCAAATTCTCGTGCTCGTTGTACTCAACATGGAGGAACAATTACCGAACCCGTTGGAAAATGACAATATGATACCGGATGATGTGCAAGAAAAATTGGCAAAGGTGATCGAACGATATCAACAGTTGAACGATGAGGAAAAGGAGGAATTCCAAAAGGGCGCCTTTGACGTGTTGACCAAGAATCTTCACAAGTTACCGAGAAACACGATTCTGCCCACGTGGCTGGCACCTTATCAGTCGTACATTCTATTCTTTTTCGCGGTATCAATTGTGGCACTTCTGCTCGGTATGGCATTTTTTTGCATTGCAATTAATTACATAATATATTTGAACTTATACATAATAAAAATATATACATATATATGTAAATACGTATACATATGTTAACGACAGATATTACGAGTGATAACGCACCAATAAGTAAAACCATACAGTTGACTGCGTAATCATATAAATTATATATCAAATATGTTTTTAGATTTATATGATTATATATGTGAATAATTGGGATTTTTTTTATTATTATCATTTTCATTTTATTATATTTTTTTTCAAGCTTATATTTTTTTGCGATAATTTAACAATAATTTTGTTTTTGCAGCTATTTTTGCGCGCAGATTGTATCGACGCACGAAAGAACGAGAACAACAAAAAGAAGAGAAAAGAAAGCTCAGGCAACAAAAAGCAGAGATGAAAAAGAAGAAAAGGAAGCAAATGTAACATGCGATTATTCGTATTCAATAATATTTTAACATGGAAAGAAAACTCATTGACCAGAGAACTGATCTTTATAATAAATTTGAAACATATGCTTCACAATTTATGAACTTTTTCTTTGACGGACTAATTTTTAATTCAGGAAAAAAAACAAGAATAAGAATTGCAATCAAGAAATATTTATTGAGCCATTTCATTGACTTAAACATTTGTATGAGACATACAATAAAATTAATATAAACCGGCATATATATGTCGTTCTCAAATAACAACATATTGTATTTTCCAACTTAAATTATAACAGAAAAAATAAACTGTATTACCACAAATAACATATTTATAATATGTTTATACTTATTTATAATTACAATATAATGTTGAACGTTTCAGTGTAACTCTTTTTAATTGATATCGCGCGATGAAATCGCAGTGAGCGTTCCCAGCTACAAGTACGATTTTTCATAATAATAATAAGAACTATAATTGTTAGATAATTAATAATTATTTAATGTACTTTTCATCACATTATATAAAATGTTATTATTTTAAATCCCTGGAAACGCACAACCACATATATTTTTCAGTAAAACCTTAATGCATTATTTAACAAGCATTAGCTATATCATAAGCTGCGTTGATGTTTGTATAAAATTGATATTGCAATATATAAGAAATCTATATACAATCGTAACTATTAATTTCATATTTTTCATAAAATTTTCAAAAATCAGAATCTCAAATATATTAGTATAAAAATCCCTTTTTTCTGTATCATAATATTAGAAAAATAAAAATATCTATATTTTGCGTACAATTTATTATATATCTATCTTATTTTAAATACTTATTAAATAAATATGTCTATATTGGCACATTATTAATAAAGGCACTAAAATTATTTTTTAAAAACTTGAACGTTTCAGTGTAACTCTTATACGTAATATAGTCAATTCTATTAATTCTTTACGATAATAACGTCATTTTATATTTTATTTTCAATAATAATGTGAACATATTAAAAGTTCATAGAAGCAAAAGAATCTATACCTATTTTAATAACAGAAATTGTTAAATCAACAAAAACAGTAACAATTATATACAAAATTAATATTTTATACTTATTTTTAGTGTGGCACGTGTATCGAAAAACGATCGTTTTCATAAATTGTACTAAAAATAATACATAAGAGTAAATCGTACTTTTCTTTACGTAATCTCTCTATCTTTCCATTCCTTACTCAAATTTTTGTTGAGTATATGTATTACATATATTACCATATTGAATATTTTTTTCAAAATTCACCGTCAGTATTAATGCGGCTTATAAAATTGTAATAGAAATCTTGCATGTGTTTCTTTGCATTTGTCCGAAACGAAAGAAGTTTTTATAACTACTTTATAATAAAAAGTCCAAATATTTATAATCCCAGAATATTCATATCATCATGGCACAATAGTGCAAATGTACAAAATCTCATATTCATATATATCTCACTTTTACTAAAGTAATTATATAGTTCAAACATTCTTAAATATACGGTAATGGAACAGTATATCTATTCTTTTTTTAAAAAGTCATAAAATTGGCATCTTATAATTCTTTCTAATGGATATAATTTTGAATTAAGAGTCGCCCGAAATTATCGGATTAGCGTATTTTAACACAGTATAAATTTGATTAGCATACGTTTGCTTACTTTTAAAGATTGAGTACTTGAAAAGTTTGAGTGCTCGCATAATTTAACAATAAGCTATGTACAATATAATGGCAACATAACAATATTCATTATCGATAGAAAAACGCATTTATACTTTTTTTATAGCATATTTGTTAAAACAGTTCGCTTTTGTATTCAGTTACATTCATTTTAAATATATTAAAAAATTATTACTATCTTAATTGGGTTGTTAAAAAATTGTTAATAATTTTCAAACTTTCTTTATGTAACCATCGTTATACGACGATAATCTTTGTATATTCAAATAATATATTTTATTAGCTTTCGCTTTATTAGCGCTTCTTCTTTCTCTTTTTCTCTTATTGTAGTATACGTATATATATTTATAAAAAATATTTATAAAAGAAAGAATCTATGGGAATAATTCAAATGATTTTTGACTTTATTAACAATTTGTAACGCTCGCTAGCCGGATCTGAAAGAAATACATATTGACATCATTAATATTTTCAGTCTCTTTTCAAAATCATAAATTAAATCATAAATTAAATTAAACAAAATAAGTTTACCTTTGATAGTCTCGACGAGATACATACTCTCGTCTTTCATGTTCGCTACCAGCTCGTCGGTGACCAACACGTGTATACCCTGTGGTCCTAGGAACAGTATTGAGTGAAGTCGGTCGTGAGGCAAGTTTAGAGCGTTGAGTAACTTGTTTGTGAATGCGGTGCTCGTCAAATTGTCGAGATAGGCGACTCTCCAGAGCGATCCGTTGCCTTCCAATGAAAAATAGAGAGTGAGTTTGGGGGTCGGTGCCTTGGAATGCAACGTGTTGAACAATCGAATGCCGTCCGCCACGCCGCAGATCTGAATGAGATCATCCCGGGACAAGCGTAAAATATCCGATGCAGAGTAGCTCGCGAATGTTGACTCGAACGCGTTGAATCGGCTGGCGCGAAGCCACGCGGTTGTCTGCGTGGTAGTTGCGTCGGGCGGCAATTCAGTAAGACATGGGGCACTCTGCAAAATTTAGGATAATATTATAAATAAGCGTGAAAGAGATAGCTTCAAAAATTCAACTTTATAATTTTTAATATAATTTAATATTCACAATTTTTAGAGAAAAGGCTTTTCTCTTCTCAAAAATATCGTAATTCGATATACGATAATATACAAAAACAAATTGTTATTACTTTTATTACGCAAATGTAATTACGCAAGTAATGTAAAACATTTTTTTCTCCATCGATTCGGAATATCGAATAAAAAAAATTCAGAATTGGAATTAATTTTCAACTAGAAAGATATTTATTGTTTTCATAAACTTGACTAATTGTTGCGGGTAGCTTTACTTAAAGTAGTTTAAAGTAGCTTTGTGTGCAGTCAAACTAACATCGGCTTCAATACAAGGTTGATCCGGTAGTATGGCTGCGGGAGATGGCAAGGCCGGCGCCGTTCCCACGTTTTCCTTCACGGCGTCCGAAGCTGGAACCAGCGGTACGATGCTGGAATTAGAAACCGAAAGTGCCAACGGGGCGATTACCGGAGGGGAATTGCAGCCCTGGCCGATAGACGTACGTGTCTGTGGTGATCTGTAAAACATAAAAACCGATAGCACATTAATTTATTGTTATAGTTTCTTAAAAATCTGAAAAATTACAATTATAAAAATATCGTAAATTTATATATATTAAATTGCTTTATTTATTATTTGTAACAAGGATATTACGTAATTATTTCTTTCTCGCAATGATCCTCCGATGATTCTTAATATGGAAATTTTTTCAATATATACGACATAACAACACACTTTACATTCTGGCATGCACAATGTATTCGTTTACTTTGTGGCATGTCATAAAACGTTGGTGAGTTGACGGATTATCTCCGTCTTATTAATTGTGCATGCAACATAAATCTTCGACTGCTAACATACGCTCAGCTGAACAATTTTATGAAGGAACGATGCACAGGAATATTCCAAGTGTTACTCGATAAAAACCGGCATCAAAATATAACTTCGCTTATAAATCTTATAATAATAAATTTAAATTAAAATCTAGAAAACAAGATGTAAAAATAATAGAGAAAATTGTTATACTTTAACATATTTTTCTGGGCTAGCTTCATGAACTCTTCCGAACAATACCCTAGTACAATAGTAGCGTATACATCTAATTTCATGAAGTAGTTATGTTTGGTTTACTAGAGAACATCAAAAGCAATCAAACTGAAATGTTTTTAAAGGTATACATTGTGTCAAAGATACAACAATCTTCCCTACTCACACACGAATGCCCAAAATATTAATTTATTTGTTTGAACTTTAACAAGGGGCCACCTAATGTATCTTTTGTCACATCAAATAGGAAAATTATTTTTTTATAATACGATTGACTTTTTATCTTAAAAATTTCAAATATGTTGTACCAAATATTATAATTATTACAAATTACATAAAACAAGTATAACATTAATGATTATAATACATTATTTGATAAACTTTACATTCTCATATAAAGTCTCAAGCTCTATTAATTAAATATGAAAGCTATGTAAACATAATTTTAATATTCAATTATTTAGATAACGATAAAAATAACTAAAGTACTTCAATATTGCGGAATTATTTTCTTTGGTCATAGCATAGAATTCAAAGTGAGATTTGATCGATACGTGTTTCACGCAATATTAAAAAGTCATTAATCTTTTCTTATCTGCTTATCAAAGTTTCGTTCTTCAAAAATTCCGTTTTTTTTTTTCATCAAAGCTAGTAATATCTTTAAAAAATAGTATCAACATATTCTTACGCAGAATGTCCCTTTAAAAGAACTACAAGCTTGACTTTTTTGCAGCCGTCAAGTCTCTTCGTGTCCTTCCTTATCCGGAGACTGACCAGTCCTCCTCGCATAACGTATCCTCTTTTCATCCGTGCGTTTAACAGGGCATGAACGAACTTAGCCACGACCTGCACGTACGGGGGACCACCGCTCACGACTACCTCGTGCTCCACAAGCCACGTGACGAACTGATCGAGCGGATAACGTGGCCGCCTGATGGACCAGCAGCTTCTCAAATTCCAGCAATCCCTTGGCATGACGAGTGCAATCTTTTTACGGTGACTGGACCGAATAGGAAATCCTCTACGGCGAATTGCTTTTCTCCTTGACAGTCTTCTTCCGACTCTTCACGCGCTCATTCATAAACGTGATACACCCGCACGCTCGAACGTCCAACCGTTCCCCAAGCGTCTTCCCATCCATTCGTAGTCGATATTAGCGAGATACCTTCTCGAATTTCCGTTCCGTTTTATCAATGATGATCAATTACTACGGTAGCCGGTTGTCCACATTGCGCGGCTAATCGAGATATAACGAGCGAATCGTTCGGTGAGCCGGTGCGCAATGTTCATCACCCAGACCCAGTAAAACTAAAGTCGCTCGGTGAATTCGAGTAATAGAGAGAGCTCTGGCTCGACCCGGCTCGACAGATAGGATAAGTTCGAGTCAGTCGGATCGCATTTGTCTGCCGCGAACCGGATATTGCTAGTCGCCCGCCGACGTTTGTCCGCTTTCGACGAACGCTCTCGAAATTCTGACCTTCGCGCGTAGCTCACACGAATTGAAATCTCGCGGAATCGCGTGATCGGCGTGTCGTATCTTTTTTTTCCTTTTTCTCCTTTCTTTATACACAAGCTACGTGTGTCACGTGCACTCGAGTAAACACGCCGTCGCGCGATTATCACTCGCGAGCCGGAGTCCCGCGAGCCAAAGATTGGAATTCCGCGATAAGTTTCCTGGAAAATCCGAAGATCTTTTTTCTTGTGCAACCGGTTTACGACTTCTTCACCGCCTGTATAGGCCTGTTCGAGCTCCGTTGTTTGCCTTCCACTTGTCCGATTGCACCTCTATAAAAGGAATGAACTTTGTATCCGGAAGAGTCACCGAGTCTATGATGTTTATCTTCTTGACGTGCTGTCACGTTGCATCGGACCTAATTATAATGTGCAGCATGTGTGCGCTATTGCGCGCAGTTTTCTATCGCCTCATAAAATACTTCAATATGTGAAATATATCCACCCTGTTTCTTCCTCCAGCAAATTTTCTTATACGCACTGTGAAGTTATAAATATTTCTCTCTATTACGCAGAGATGAATGTTTCGATTATAAGATGAACTCAGTCCCAGAAACAATTAATGTTTCTCGAGTTGCGCAATTAATCTCATTGACGTTTCTTGATAAGCGATCTGTATAAGCGGCTGTAATATTCCTCTTGTTTTTTTCGTTCAGAGTGAATTTTACGAATATATAATTAAGCTTCCTCGAAATTATCTATTTTTTTCGATGCTGGAAAATCTTCGTTTTATTCAAAACTCTCTTACGTTGCCTTTTGATTTCTCAAACTTAACTTCGCTTCCACCTGATGCTTTCAACAAATTCCCATTAGACGGGAAAACAGGACAAGATCCTGGTTACAAGACTCAATTTAACCGCCCTTGCGTCAGCTTTTTGGCGGCAGGGCTGCTCGTCATCTGAGGGGATGATCCTGCCGCGACAGGAGCACGTAAATAGCCAGGATATCGCGCGTTACCACGAAGCTCAGATTATCGATTATCAACGCAACTAAAAATACGTGCAAAATTCGCGTACACTTTGTTGAAAATCGATTATCTGCTGCCGCGGACGAGGGCATTCCTGAACGGTGCTCACTCACGGTGTACCGACTCGCAGATCTCGCTGTTTAACTGCACTTGAAGGAGATCGCTATCGCTTGAAGGAGCTCGCTCGATGCATCACACGTGGTTGTTATTAAACGCGGCTGCGAGCTGTCATAAGCTATCTGTCACAAATGATCTCGTCAGCAGTTTTATTGCATGACTAATGATTGCGAGATGACTGATTGTTTGCGTTACGCTTTAATTCCTCGCAAAGGGAACCACGGATGAGACAGGGAAGCAGCTACTTGTTTAAAAGACAGCGTAATACCAGGTCGCCCTCGATCACGATGCAATTCGGATACATCAACAGTGTGAGAATAAACTGTTCTGATCAGCGAAGCTAACACCTCTTATACGCTTGTCGAGCGCGCGTTATTTACACTGGCAATCTCGATCAATCCGCTTCTTGTCTCGATAGATTCAGTCACCGGAACCTTGTCGCGTACCAGAATATACCGGACTGAGATTAATTCGGTTATCTCGGACGATAACTTCGGATTCACTCTTCTTTTCTCGCCAGGCTAAGCACCACACAAACCAGGTGACTTGTACAAATATAAATTATCAAGCTTCACTTTACACAAATTTGTCAAGCAGATAATTTCTCAAGATTCACAAGCCACGATGTACAGAAACTTGGGAGAACTTTCGATGTAACAGGCTCCAAAACTTCACGATTTTTTCTTCACCTCTAATTAATTATCTCTTATCTTTAGAGATAATTAGTTTTCTAAAGATGGATTGGAGCACTGAATATGATGCAGACCGAGTGCAATCTGCGGATAGAACGAGACGTATTGACGTTTAAAGAAATCAAATCTCTCTCTTCGCGAGCTTTGCACTATTCTGAAACGAGCTTCGAGAACAAGTTAAAGACTACCGGTTCAGTCTAGTACCGGTTCTTGCGCGCAACTGAGCGACTGCAAGCTCAGCCGCTTTCTTTACGAGTGATGCCCGGCGGAGCCGTTTCAAGGTTGCGCGCGCGAGCTCGGTGGGATATCAATTCCAAATCCAGGCAGAAGAAGCGGATTATACACTTTTTTCGACAGCGAGGAAGATATTGATTAATAAATGCAGGTAATTGTACAAATGATGCAGAATGTCACCGTTTACTTGTAAAACAAGCGCGACACGTGAGACGCGTTCAGCGGTGAGACTTAATGACAGCGGTTGTCATTCCGATGATTCAGTAATACGATCACACGATATCTCGACTTATGATAGCTTCGTTTGCGACCTGGACGCGCCTGAATGGATTCAGCAGGAATCGACACGCGGCTACGCGCAATACACGGCGTTCTGAATTTATTCCCGTGCACCGTGTCTCTCTTTTGCAGGAGACTCTCTCGTCTCTCCTCGTTCTCCCTCGCTCTCTTTGCCATGGTTCTCCATCTTCCCCTCCATCGAGAGGACCGCCGTCGGCGGAGACAGGGACGCCGGCTCGCGCCAGTTCGAGCCAGTTTGTTGGCGACGATGCCCGGCGTCTACCTCCAAGTATCCCCACTTCTCGTTCACCACTACAGAGAAGCAAACTCCTGATGGAGACATACCACCGCCACTATCCTTCACCAGAATAAACTCCCACCCAGCTACGCGTAGAGCTGCGACAACGTCGCAGTGGTTTCTCGTATAACCGAGAAGTGCATAATTCTCTTTAGACTCTATTCTTCATCTTGGTAGCGCGAGAAGTAAAAAAAAAATAGATGATGATAAAGAGACAGATATTTTTCAATTCTTCTCCTCGCAAAGAAATACTAGAGCTTTACTTTTTTTTGTTTTTTTTTCCTGTTTGTTAGACGGAAAACACACGGAAAGAGGGAAATAAAAGAAGACATTTTTTATCGCCATATACTCCGCTTTTGAAATCTTTTCACGGTGAAGAACACAAATATTCTTCGTGTTCTTCATCATTTTCGATCTATGTTTTTTACTTCAACGAGGAAAAAAATTGTGAAAGAAAAAACATGAATATATAGTTCTTTTAGCTTCGCTTTCCGCTGAACAATTTTTATCCAATAATTTCTATTTTCAACGTTTAAAACTAAAAGAAACATAGCCTAGAAATCTTTATTTCTCTTAATTTCGACCAAAGTAGATAATTTTTAAAAATTATCTTCCTTGCGCAGTTCTGCTTTCACATGAACTTCGCATTTACTTCTACCTACGTCGTATAATATCGCGAAGGTCGCATGGTGATTGCATGGTAGATTGCTGAGTTGTATGTGTGCATATAAATAGCTTGCAAAAGTAAAAGCAGTCATCGGCGGACATCAGTAAATCAGATTTATCGGAGATGTATTGCTATTTATATCCGTGGGTCAGGTATTCGCGCCATGCAAGGACTTGCCTGACTACGTGTTTCTCAGCACGTATCGACAATCAGCGAATACAACGACGTAGGGATCAAGAGAGATCTGTTGAGTCTTACTGACTCTGACATTATACCGTGGAATTCTGTTGTACAACTCGGATTATACCAGAAGTTATAAAATGTCATCGCTCGGATAAAAATAAGTCGTGGCTCGTGTTTAAATTTGCATATAATTATGCGTATAACGCGTGCAGTTGCAATATGTTTGTTTTTGCATGCCGCATATTTTCAAAGGAAGCAAAAACACCACCGGTCGAATGACACAAATTATTCGACTTATGTTATGTTAAACGAACGATTTGTCTATATAGTTAGACAGGCGGCCAAAACCCGCCGTATCCAGAAACGAATAGTTGTTTTTGTACAGTAAGTTGTTGCAAGGTCGGAATTTGCAATAAGATTTTCTTTGGTTTTCGTTACTCCCTAAAGATATTCACAAGTTGATTCCAGCATTAATGTATAGAAGTGCTATATTAAACGATAAAAATAATATTCGCGACATTTTTATGTCAAAATAAAATTCAAAATAAACGCAATGATATTCTGCTTTATTTTTATGTTGAAATATTTTTAATTGATATCGCAAAATTACATTAAGCTAAATAACAAGATATTAACTTAAAGTAATGTATAACTAATTGTAAGCTAAAGATAGAATAATTACAAACGCCTCTATAATTGGCATCATCAATTGTCATTCCTAGATTATATCTTTCACATTGAGTTTTTACATATCCGTCTATATCTATTGTTTACATTATTGTAAAAAAACAATATCAAAGTTTGTAAAACTTTAGAACCAGATTTGTATCTTTTTTCAATTTTTCACGTTATTATCAAATTTTATAAGATCAATGCTAAATTCTTAGACTAGAGATATAGTAGAGATTAAATGGTTTAATTGTAGAAATATGCAAGATCTTAAAACAAAAATAGTATTTTTTTCAATTTATGAAGAATCATTATTGAAGAACTCAGTAATGCTTGCAGAAAAAATTGAAAACCTATCTTTAGTAATACAAAAAAAATTTAAGTGCAAGAGATCTTCTAGGCAAGAGATCTTACCTATCTTCGTGCAAGAGATCTGTATATATCAAACTCACAGACTTCAATTATAATACTGAACAAAAGGTTTTAGTGAAAGGTATTAATTAAAGATAAAAATGTCGCGAATATTATTTTTATTGTTTCATATAGCATTTTTATACATGGATGCTGGATCGACTGAATTATGTCTTTAGGGAGTAACGAGAATCGCAATGGAAATCTTATTGCGAATTCCGACCTCGCAACGACTTACTGTACAAATAGCAACTAGTCGATTCTGGATACGGCGGGTTTCGGGCGCCCGTCTAACTATAGACGAATCGTTCGTCTAACAATAAGTCGAACTTGTGTCATTCGATCGGCGGTGTTTTTGCTTCCTTCGAAAATATGCAGCACGCAAAAACAAACATTAACTAACGTAACTGCTCGCGTCATACGCACAGTTATATGCAAATTTAAACACGAACCACAGCTTATTTTTATCCGAACGATGACATTTTATAACTTCTGGTATAGTCCGAGTTGTAAAACTAAATTCCACACTGGTATAATGTCAGAGTCAGTCATATATTTTTACGAGAGATGTTATTTTAATATTATGCCTGCTCTATAATTACATTCAATAATTGATACGTAGTAAATTTTATTTCATAATCTCTTTCGTGGCTTTTTCGAGTATCTTTAGAATGCGTTCAATTTAAAATGCGTAAAGAGAATGAATATAAAAATCAACTTACATTGCTTCCGTCGAGGCATACGAGCTTCCATTATTTTGCGTCGACAAGTTTGAAGGCGATAAGGATTCCAGAGGAATCTATAACAGAAAAAGAGGAAAAAATTGAAAAACAGTATTTTCATTTTAGACACTTTAATTTCAATATTTTTCCTACTTATTTTAATTATAACAAAGATTATTCTCGGCGAAACTTACATCAGAAAGGACGGTACAATCATAGCTGGGCTGATATTTGTCCTGCTCGTGAGGAGGACGTCTCAATATCTTGTCACGATCTTGCTTATGCTTGCGATCTGCTCCCTTCAGTTTGAAGACTTTCACCTGACACGATGCTGCGTGCAGACGTGGTCCTCCTGGCAATCGGGTCTCTACTTGAATTCGGAAGGGAACGCCCTTTTCGCCACCATGCTTCTTCGGTGTAAATTCAGTGCTTATGCAATTGACCTATTTGCAAGTTAAACAAACATGTTTGCAATATGAGTGACATTTCATCAATTATAAAGTAGATAAAAAAATCTCAAGGAAAATCACATTTGTATACTAGACTTTTATTCGTGAAATTCCATGGATTTTTTAATTCTCCTATAGAATTATATATACATAGAATATAGTTACGCGAAAGTGAGAGATCAATCGCGTTTGCCATAAATAAAAGAAGAAATAGAAGAATAAAGAATCAAAAGATTCGTTAGCAAGGAGATCAGCGTACTTTGATATAAACCCCGACTTCTTTCGTGGGATCCCACATAAACTCCACGCTGTTGTTGGACGGCGACGGTTGGCAGACGTCCACCATACCGTAGCTGAGAGGTACGTCAACCTCTAGCAATCTCTCACCCGGCCTAGCCCGTTGCCAGGCCAGCATCTGTTCCCGTTCTGTGTATTGCAGCCGTCGCTCGTGGAAGCAAATGCGAATCGTCGACTGGAACAGAAAGGTCGGATGTTCCTACAGAGGCGTTGTAGTGACCGTTTGGGCGACTCACATCTTACGAACGTCGAGGACACGCCGTGAGCTCACGCCGATGTCTCCTCCGACCGTGTTAACTTGTAATTCGTAATCGCGGATCGTTCCCAGGAACCGATGCGAGAGAATTATAGAGTTTTATTTGCAATTATTGTCAGCAGAGTGAGTATTAACTGTCTATAGTTGGATGCACCCACATTATAGGATTTAAAGCGTTGCAGAGCGTTATAGGCAATAATTATATCAGTACTTGCAAATGAAAGTTACGCTTGCATATTATTTACATAATGCTTGCATATTAGTTATAATGACTCATTGTGGAATTCATAATTTGATTGACTGACCAATGTAACATCATAAATTACTTTACATTTTGCCACCTTTTTCCCAACTAAAAAAAAAAAAGATTTGCGATCCACCGAATTATTTGTACCAGCATGAGCTCGCTTGCTTACCTCGTGGGAGATTGCCAAAGCGTTTTTTAAGATGCCGCTACCCAAACGTTAGAAGCATCCGAACGAGTGTTCTTTCGCATTTAAGGGTGTGATCAATGTACCTTCAAAATCTTTCCGCGATAGGCAGATAAATCGCCCAATTTTTTCAGCTTGATCTCATACGATTGCCCTTGATTCAGATACGTGAGAGTTTCTTCGTTAACCTTGGTAGCGATGCTGGTAGCGGCTGCTAAGACGTACTGAAAACTAAAAGGAAATTTCGCGATATATACTCTATTTTTACAATCCATTATGTAAAATTTAAAAAATTAGAACATGTTAATTATATTGCAAGTAGAATATTTTATAAAAATAATATGGAACTTTTATCACCTAAAATTTTAGCAAACTCTTGAAATTTCGCTACCCATGCATTTTAATTAAAAACATAAGTTATATAATATTCTTTATATATAATATATAATATTTTTAATATATCAATATAATATTATTATATTATTCGTTTTTATTAATTAATTGATTAATAGCGTACCGGCAATCCTCGTTCAATTCGTTTCCCTGTTGGGAAGAAGAAACGTGGTTGGCCGCGGTCGAAGTCGGCGGGTACTCCTCGTTGGAGGAATACAAAAGTTGGTGGAGGCTAGCCGCGGTTTGTCCATTGTTGTTGCTATCAGCCTCGACGGAGCCGACATTTCCATTGCTGGACGGCACTGTATTGATCGCCCTTTGCGACACGTGATTTAAACTGAAATAATTCATAAGATACAAATGTTTAAGATACGTTAGACTATACCGATATCGCACGATGGTCTTCGCGCGCGAAAAGCAGGCAGAATGTTCCGCGTGGTTAATACCGAGCCACTCACTATAAATTAAAGAAAAGTGACGGCGAGACGTTCAAATCCACGGGTGTTCTCATTCTGGTTTTCGGCATTCAGTAGTCGAAGTTTTCACTCAATCCCACAAGATAAATCCGCACAAACAATCATCGGCGTAAAAACTTGTTATTTACACGTGCAGAGGTTCATCGTCTTGAATACTACGTCAGCTTTTGCTCTGACTTCAACGTTACACTCGCAAGAACGTAATCGCAAATGAAAAGCCACACCGAGTGTCTGTATTAGACAAGTGATTTCATCATTCGTCTAATCAGCTATTCGCAATACTCGCGACTCTCCGCGCTCTCTTTCGAATATATCTTTCATATGATCTGCATATTTCACGCCGAGTGCGGAGAGCAACAAGATTAGATGACCTCTCGCAATTTGATCTTCTTCTCGTTACACATGAATACGACGAGCTCACGTGATTCATACGGCGGCACGGCAGTTCTCCCCTCGCTTTATTCGAATGATTAATCTTAGATAACAAGTCCGCAGATAACAGATAGCAACTCGGACAACAATTTTCTTCATGAGCCCACGAAACAGCTGTTTTGAAAAATAGGAAGAGGTTTTCTTTTCGAAAGGGAATAAATATATACTTAATACAGAATGCAGTTACTTTGTCACTTCAGCATTTCACGAGTCTATAAATCGACATCTAAAATTTAGGAGATCATTGGAAGTTGATGAGAATTTATTTTTCTATTCATTTTCATTGGTGAGATCGTACATCACTGTTCCGTCTGTAGAGCTCATACTGCAGCGTATCTTTCCTGCGCACTGCGTTATCCGCGGCACAAAATCCTACCCGATCCCACGCGGAAGAAATCTCCCCTCCCAATCTTTATACTAAAGTCACACGCATGAGCTGAGATATCGATCCGCGATTCACGTTTATGATCGCGGCCCGTCGTCGCGCCGCCGACTCGGCGGCTTCACGGAGGAAAACGCGCGTCGTGCGATAAGTACGCGCATATAAGAGAGTAAGAAGTCTGACCCGAACGCGAACGACTTAACTCTCTCGATAGCCGCGAACGAGCGCAACGATATAGCCGCGGCCTTATCTATGGCCGTGTCTTTGCGGGGGAGCCGCGCGTGGCAAATTCCGCTCGGAATACTTTTTACCCCCGTCATCCCCGACTGGTCCCGCGCGGAGCGAGATAGACGTCGTCGTCTTCGTATTGTAGTTGTAATAGTAACGGCCAGTTACTGTCATCAGTACCGCGCGTTTCTATACCGTATCTATTCGCCATAAATAAACGGACGGTGTTACGTGAAAATTATCTAATTCGCAGAATTAGAAAAAGAAGTGAAAGAAACAAGAAGTTGGTTGCAAATGTAATTGAGTCGAAAAACACTTTTAAATTAATTTCTCAAAATTATTGATTAGTGAATTCTTGCACGGTACTGTCGTTCGAAAAAAGTGATCTTAATAATTTGGCGATGACTTACTTAGCGTTGCCATGCTGATTCTCAGGCGATGGCGCCTCCTGTTTGAAGACTGTTAGCGATGGCAAAGTGAGGAGGGCTTCGCTGGAAGAAGATAGAAGTTTTTGTCACGTAACGTTTTTTAGTGGTCTTTTTCTAATCTCATTTGCAGAGATCAAGTCAGAAGTTATTCCAATTTTCAAAATATTCATTCAGTAGCACAACTTCACGCATCTTTTCTAGAAGTTATAACAACATAAAAATTTTTTAGTATATGTGATCACACGAATTTTGAAAATAATTTTAAAAATGGTTACACCTATTTAGTTAGCTATTTAAATTTTCAACTCCTTTCTTAATAAATTTTTAAAAAACTTTTTAGTGTAAATTTCTTTATATCTTTCTTATCTTCCTTTCAAGTTCATAATATATAATTTTTTTCTCAAAGATTATTTTATTTCATTGGAATAATATTCAATGCAAAATAACATGTTATTGTAACATGTTTTTCGCTTGTTGTTTTATAACAGCAACCTGTCGCTGGGTAACTCGCGATTTTTTTCTTATCAACCGCGTTTATTATATTGACGCACGATGATGGTCACGCTACGGTATAAAGATTAGGAATTAACGTCAGCTCATCTCGCAATGCATCGAATGTAGACATATGCGCGATAAGAAAGGAATAATTTGAGAACCACTACGATAATGCCGTGAGTCAGTAAGGTCAGCACGAACTGGAATAAACTAGTTCAGTGTGCAACGGGTCTAATCGGTGTGAAATAATACCGATACCGAGTCAAGAATACCACCAAAATTTATTTACGATTCACCGATAGCTGAAATAGTTGATAGCATAAATTGCACACATTTGTGTTGCAATTTACGAATAAATTCTTCTGACAATATTTCTTCGAATATTAGATTTTCTAATCGCAAATAATATATAAATTTTTCAATACATTAAATAACACAGTTTCATTAAATTACTTACCTGGGTTTTACATACTGGTGCATACCTTTATTTATAATTAAATGATCACTTTATTTAAAAAATCATGAATAAAACAAAAATAACAGAATACTGTAGAAATCACTTGTAATCTTTTTGATATTGAAGCATGAGAACTTATCACCGTTTTTAGACAGTTATCGAAACAAAATATTAAAAATACTAAAAATTTATTAAAAGTTATTGCCAGACAATTTTATATTCTGTTCTCGCAATATAGCGACATATTATCGCACTTATTATATGTTTGTATATATGTACTTTTTCTATTATTTCAGTAATTTTTTATTTTGACTTATTTAGATATTACTTTTAAAAATTTCGTTTATTTTTGATAATATACATTCGCGCGACGTTTCAGCTGGTTCAAATAATATTGAACGCTTAGTTTTCGAATAATAAAACGGCTGGTACTGTTACAATTCCTCTTGACAATTTGACTAACACTACGGCGAATCTCGCGATGATTGCAGATATAATTGCAAGTCAAAACTCTTAAGAGGTACGCCGACACGCCGCCAAGAATAAACCGGTTATATGTACACCCACGAACTGGTGCACCAGCCGGTTCCTCACCGGTTCGAACCACGCGGAATGTATTCAACGCGCGTCTTCATTCATAGACGGATACACGCCTCCTTTTTTCCTCCGCACGTCAAACGTTACGTACAGCTGATCAGCACGATCAGCTGATGCACGCGATGCAATAATTCGATTAAGATTTTTTTTAGCCTTGTTATACGTCAGAATTATCTTTTCATAGCAAAAAATATATATTTCATAAAATTAATCAAATTATCGATGTAACCGCGGCAAAAATACTGAGAGAATTTTAATTAATTGCAAATTATGTCCTCGTACGTTAAAAGAAATGAAAAGATTTTATAAAATACATAAGCGCGCTATTTTAATTTTCTTATTTGTCTACTTAAAAATGATGCTTATATATGTATATGGACTTTCAACGGCCTTCACAGCTTGAATTTACGATACGCGTATATATTATCACGATAAGGTACGTGCGTAACCATTTTTCATCGTGTGACCATATGCATAGATATAATATCGATCGTAACAATCAATAATTTTTAAGTGCAACAAAGAAAATAAAGTGGTAAAAAATATAATTATTTTATACTTGTAAGAAAGAATTACGCACGACGTTTTATTCAAATATATTTAAATATAAATTATTAATTATATTCCGTGTAAAATATTTTTCTTTTTTACGAAAACGCGAAAACATGAGAGAAATTTTATGAGTTCCACCGATCGCGCTCCTTTTTCGTTCACGTTAGATGCTTCACGTACACTCGCGCACGTGCGTTGAAAGTAACACACCAATACTCGTGGCCCGTGCCTGCCGACCGGCTTGATTTTGTCGTGTCGCCGGTGCGACGCAATGCCAAGAACTGTGTGGCCAGTTTTAACCGGATTTCTAGATCAGCTCGCTACCGTTTCGTACACGCGTTTCAATCTTCGCGGCAGAAGTCTGCGGTACCGACTATACGTTCAATATTCGCGCTCTATCGACCGACAGCTGTCGACGACTGTATCATCGAGACATCGTAAAATCGGTATAGTTAACATTTTGCTACAGATTTTGCGAAGCATTTCTAAATGTGTATCACACCTACAATAATGACTATTCCTTGACAAATACGTTAAATTAAATTTTTCTTGAAAATGTAACATGATAAAAATAGGATGCCATTCATTCTTTTTAGCAATTTGTCAGAAGTAGTTGGATATATTTTTTCAGAAATTTCCATGACATTGCTTACCTCATGTTAGTGTAGGAAGCGACAGCTGTTGCAAGATCAGATGCCGCGAGAGCGGATAACGATCCATCAAAATCAGCGGCAAGGTGCTCCGCGAGTTCCTCCACTTGCGTGGACCAACCTTGGCCAGAACCATTGCTGCCGATGGATCCTGAAACATAACATAAACCAAAAAAATTTCATGAATTTAATTTTTTTGAAACGTTCATCTCTTGTTTTATTTCACGTTTTTTTTAGCGTCATATTAGTGCGTGACAGAATATATATTATAAATGCGCCGAAAAAATTAAAATATATTACATTTCTTGTTTCCCACTTAAGTATTTTTATCTATTCAATTTTTTGTTTTTACATCTATTTATATAATATCTTTTACTTTTTTATGAGAACAATAGTATAGACGATGCTTTCCTCATTTTGAAAAAGAGAAAAAAGTTACACGAGAATATTTAATATAAAATTTAATATAAGAATTCTTTATGTATTTTTAAAATATATTTTATGAAAGAAAATATGAAACTACATTGTGTGCCTACACGGAGAGAATTTTTTTTTAAATTTACCCTGCAAATCATGTTAATTGCGGGACAATATAGTATTTAGGCAAATTTTACTGTGCACTACAATAAATTTTACTGTATTTTACTACTGTCAAATTTATTGCAGTGCACAGTAAAATTTTCCTAAATACTATATTGTCCCACAATTAACATGATTTGCAGGGTAAATTTAAAAAAAAATTCTCTCCGTGTACAATAATTGAACACAAAAATTATTGTATGGGGAAAATTATTTATTGTATGCTACTATTCTTTGCGTCTTCATTACGTTAGCCTTCTTTTCGAGTGTTACGCGCAGCTTATCTAAAATAATCAACACACAGCTCTTCTCATATACGGCATCGTACCGCCTTGAGCGCCGTTATAACCGACGTGAAGCTGATGATGCATTGTGGTCGGCCTATCTTTCGTCTCCTGGATGACGTGACGGCGCCGACTCTTTGTGGCGATGGGGGGATAACGTCGACTTTGCAGCAGCGACACCCTGGATTTATCGATCTCACACCACTTCATCCTATTTCGGCCGCGGCGAGGATCGCACCCGTGCAGGAACACAACACCAAAACTACGTGCGTGCACCTTCACAAAGTCCCGCCAGTATGGCGAGCTAGTATCGGGCTTCTCTCTCTTTCCCTCTTCGTCTCTCTTTTTCTCTCTATCTCTCTCCCTCTTTTCTCGGCCAGGCTAATCTGCGTGATACATTGCGTGCGTGTATGTACACGAGTTATCAGCCACTGATGACCACGTGGGCGAAAAGGCGTCGGACGTAAGAAGATGGAACGCAGAAGTTCGCCGTTCAGTCTTGAGGAGTTCTTCAAAGCGACGTCACTCAGATCGCATATCGCGTCATCGCTGAGTCTCGACCAGTTAATCAACAATGGCAATATTGAACGCGGGTATTGGTTCGGACAATTTCGAGCATCCCTCGGTATTTACTGATTTGCCAAGTAGTCGGAATTTCACGCGAGCATGGTGATTACTGAGTCACTTGCTTCAAAAACTATATATTGTATTATCACGTACGTATAAATTAATTGTATTAATATTTAATTGGACGTATTAGAATTTTATCACAAGAACAATAATATACTACGATATTAACGTACTCCAGAATTCTATTTATAAAGTTGTACAGACACGATGAATTTATCACAGAAAAGTTATCACTAAACTGTTAAAAATTTGAAGGATAGAAAATGCAGATATCTCTTAATAATGAGAAGAACTGTAATACTGAACAGCAAAATGGGACTCGTGGCTACGACAGTGTCCGGGAGGCCGTTTGGTCACGACCTTTAAGAAGATATATCTACGTCAACGACTACACGATAATGACGATTGGATTCACGCCACTGCATATTTAAGGCAACATATTCTTACATTCTTACATTCTACGCAAATATATTTTGCGCGGGAAACGAAATTTGTCACTGTCGAAACGCAATGTTTTAAAAAAATTTCAAAGTAAAATTATTTTAAGCAAGCTTTATATTTTTATTCCAGTGTCACTATGCGATTTGTAAAAAGAAATACAAATTCATTTAATTTTATTAAATATGACATATTGGAAAATTTGCTAATGTGGTAATTGCAAGAAATTAAGAATTATGCTTGAATTTTATCGCATTAATAAATACTTCTATAAATTAAGATCGAACAACCTATTCTATATAAATTCTATATAAACAGTATGCAATAATTTTTACGCAAATATCTGAGAATAATAAATAAGAAATACCAACCGTCTCTTCTGATATGTTTCTTTTCAAGTTCCGTAATGTGATGCAATGACTCCGTGGAACGGCGTTTTAGATTGTTCTGTTCACAATTCGGGGATGATCCGGAAGGCGAGAGTTGTGGCGAGCCACTGTTCAAATGTACCTGATCACCGCCAGTCGGCGAATTTTTTGGCGAGTTGCGCTTGTCTTGCCATAAAGAATTTTGCGGACTGTGATACCCCATTGTGGTCTGCAACATTGACAATTTGATAATTTGTTACAATTGCATCGGTGCAACTTATATAGCCAATTATATTCATAGATATAATACTCATACTCATACTTGACACACATAACAGTGAGATATATATAGGTATGCAGAGTAAACGGATCGATTAACGCAAAGACCATGATTGTATTTTTCAAAAGCGATGTCCAACCGAGGAATAAGAACATTTCTTCTCAATAATAGAGATTTAGAGATTTTAATTGTTTCGAAAAAGAATTGTAATGCTTTTTTTGAGAATGGAAACCTCGCGCAACCGATCCAGAAAAATGAAGAAAACGAGGAATTGACGCGGAGGCATAGAGATTAAATACATTAATAAATTTCTCGACTTTTAATTTTAAATCTTTGACTTAGTTTAATTTTACTCTTCAAGATTATATTTGCTAAGTATCAAGCTCATTGACATCCAAATTACTTTAGATTAAGACCCAAATTATTTTCAAAAAATAAAACCATAAATAAATCTAAAACTAACAGAAAAATTTCTTTTCCAGGGAATCGGAACTTTGCTCTTAAAAAACATCAAGATCGGCAGAAAAATATACATATAATAAGTAAGTATTATAAATGAGAAAAAAATTAAAGTAGAAATAAAAAAATCTTTTTATAATACTGAATAAAATAATGTTATCATTTAACATATAATTTCAAGTACGAGATCTAACAAAGAGACATTTATAATTTATTAGAATAAATTAAATCTCACACGAAAGAAAGAAAATTATTCCACGTACCTGTTGAGATGCGCCTATAATGTCACACCTGTTTGAACGAACCGGCGACAGTTGCTCATATGATGGAGATGTATTGGAGAACCACATCCCTCCGTGTAGGGTTTCCGCGCCGGCGTCCATCATGAGTTGCAGCTCCATTCAGCTTCTCAAAGGTCCGCTCCGTCGGCGAGCATCGATTCTCTTAGCACCAAAATTCCTCTCTTCAAGGATGAGAAGACGAGAACGACTCCTTGATTTACGAGTTATAATTTTACATGCTATACGTATATATATTCTATATGCGAAAATGAATTTCGTGATTGTGTTCGGCAACGATTCTGTAAAAGGCGATAAATTCACGCTGATTTCAAATCACAGATCGATGATCTCTGTCTCCAGCTGTCTGTTCTCTAATCGCGAAAAGCACTTATTCCATTCCACCGCGTGTACTTTTCATGCCTGTTGCAGATCGTGCTGTGCGTCCACCCTGTGGGTCCACCCCTCGGTCCAGATCTTCGATGTGTCCGGAAATACACGGTGCATCACCCGACCGTCGGTGGTTCTCAGGGCCGAGTACGCGTGCTGATCCGCCCTCTCTTAGAACATCACGAAGAAGCTGTTGTACAGTTTCTTGATGCCGGTGGTCTCACGCTGCCGGTGTGTTTCCAAGAGTGCGCAGCCTCGCGATTTCAGTGACAAAAAACGCGAAAAGACGACGAACGCGTCTTCGAATATCATTGCCACACCTTGGCTGCAACGCATTTTGTTCCTAGTTGTGCCGAAGCTTTGCTGCCGTTTCGGCGGAGAACCTTTTCCTGCGAATAACATATGCTTCATTTAATTTAGAAAGTAAAAATAACAGTCAGTCGACAAGCTGATTATTTTGTTTAACATTTTAAGTGATTTACTAAAATAGCAATTCTTGCTACATCCTATTTGTTAAAATTTTAACAGCGATTATTTTACGTGTTCAATTCTATATCAAAATTAATATAACACAATTATATCGCAATACGCAGAATTATTTAATATATCAAAATAAATTACATTAAAATTTATAGATAATGTTAAAACACACATATATATATATATATATATATATATATATATATATATATAAAATAAAAACATTGTATAAATAATAATATTATACAAATCAAAATAGTTATATAAGAGTTTATATAAAAGTTATAAAAACGTGGCATTTTTTTAATTTTCTCAAATTTCATCATCCTTTAAATCATTTCTTAAAATAATCATAGTGCTTTAACGTCGTAATTCATTTGTACAATATAATCTATATTGATTACTCATTTGATCGATCGATGTTCATTCTCATTACTCGCTCTTTCTTGATATTTTGTGATTAATAGCGCATTTATTTAACGTTCATATATATGTGTGTGTGTTTTAAGAATTTAAGTAATAAAAAAGCTGTAGCTGTTTCTTAGAATAATAGCTTGCCGCTGCTTGACACCAATTGAAGCTGTGACCGACGCGAAAGCATAAATTGGTTCCGCAATAATCGATCTTTTTTGTATAATTCAGCTCTTCTTTAATTGATTTATGCTTTTAGAAGTTAATAGATAATTTACGAAGTTTTTTTTATAATTTCAGTTATTACATAATGAAGCAATTTTAATCCATCACAAGATGATATTAATATTCCACGCATTATATTACTTCATAATTTTGAAATTTCTATTAAAATTAAATATATTTATATGATTTTTAGTATTATAATTTGCAAACCTTCTCTTATACGTTTTAATCGATGTCTTTTCTCTGGTGTTTCCTCCACCTCAGATAAGAACCGTTCGAAAAAAATATCGTCTTCGTGATGAAGAACGGAAGGAGAGAATGTCAATTCCGCGGATCCAAAAACATTCCCAAAGTAGACGGGTATCCGCGCGTGACACACCTTAATTATCTTATCAAGATCTTGCGTCTGTGGAAGATCAAACTCCGATGTTTCGAAACTTTTACGCCTCCTTGGATCCAAGCAGCTGTACTGCTGTTAACTCCAAAATTTTCATTCAGAGAACGGCGTTAAAAACAAGAGAGTAATCCTTGCCTAAAAGGGGCTCTGCTTCTCGTAAAAATTCGAAGGATTCAACTCGACGGATATCCCCGAAATGCTTGAGTAGGCTCAACGTTACGTACGTTCCGATTTGCTTTCTAACGACTATGGCTCACACACTGGATAGTGTCTTGGGGTATCGGAGCCCACCGTCTGACCGTTATCACCACATTTTCATAATCCTTCGCTCCATGGTGCCGTCCAAAAAAAGAATCCGATCCAGGAGGAAGTGAACGAGACCTCCCGTAAATAACGTCAATGGATGTTCGAGTTTCGTCCACCACGTTCCCTAAAATCTTCTCGGTGGCGAGAGAAAGCCTGTCCCTTCTAATAAGGATCTGCAAGGCGACGGCTCTCCCGGTGGGACCAAAGGGATTTGACCCTCTCCGACGATACCCGCGACCTTCTCTCTTTCAGTATTGTGTTCCTTCCGTTACTGCGCAAAGAGACACTACCAGAGTCTTTCGAAAAGTAGCAGCCAGTAAAAGTGGGCCATTCAGTCGTCGAGTCTCGAATGTGGTCAAAATATCTCCCTCTCTGTAACCTTTCTATAATCTCTAAGACGAGAAGCACCTTACAATCTTCTTGTGTTAACAAGTATTCCGTTGTTTTAAGATTTATACACACTGTTGACGAGAAAATGACTTGTTGTGTCTCACTGCTTTTGTCAAAAGGTTTTTCTCTTCGTTCATACAAATCAAACTGCTTGATGTTCTCCAGTGAGTCACTAAATCCACAGACAGTTAATCCTTCGTCTCTTATTAAGCTTTAGCAAGAACGTAAAGTTCAGGAACTTCTTCAGGAAAAGAAGTCCGGCTGGCAAGACGGTAGTCGATGGATTGCCTAACGGTCCCGACGCGAACTCTGGAATGTTCACGGGTGATCCAATCCAATCGTGCTGCAAGGAATTAACTGCTTGGCCAATAGGCTCCACTCTCGGGGGTCGACTCTCAATTGGAACCACTCAGTGCTGATCAAGCAAGACGCGTTTCCTTTATCCTCTAGCGTTTATCTCGTGCTGATCACGTCGTCTTGCAAATTCGCGATTTGTCACCTGAAGATCTCAATGCCTCAAAAGCTCTTGCGTTGTTGACGTTATAGACGAATTAAATTTCTGATTTATCATCTGCAGCTTTGCGCTCGCCGTGATAGCTCACCAATTTATCTCGGTGATGTTCAGCCTCTAACTTATCTTCTGGTTGCAGACGCTGCGGCTTCGAGGGGAGCAACTCCGAGAGGCTTATATTTGTATTAGTTATCAGTTAAGACGTCACAACAATGATCATCAAAGATGTCATTTAACTTACGAGTGTTAGTGTTACTACCGGAGAAATGTATGATATACGGATTACGTGTCTCGTTGCGACACTGAAAATTTCTACGATCACCTACGGATATTAGAGTCTATTCTAAGACGGAATTGTTCGACGACGCGCCAACGAGGCCAGTCGCGGTAGTTTGCAAATTGACGTAGTTTGCGACTGGCAGCCGACGATCACGACTGCCGAGTGTCGTCCCAGCAGACACGTCGTAAGAGCCGACGAGTCTGTTTGCCACGCGGATTAATTAGTTTCAAAACGTTATCTCTGATATCGTGGCTTTTCGCACGGCACGACCTCGAAAGCTCCTCCTTCTGCGCGCTCGTTTGGAGGAAGGCGATTTCGCTTCTCGCGGCTCCTCTTTTGTTCCGCGCGCGGTTTCTGCCGATCGCTTCTGATCACGTCACGCTGTGCGCGGTGCCGATGTGTCTGTCAGCGCTGCCACGTGCCGGCTGTTCAAAGAATGCCTCTCGAGGACGTTGTTTCTCGATCAGAGCTCCTGCCCGACCGCGGTATGTTTGCCGAGGGAATTCAGCGCTGTTTACCGTACGCGTTCTATCTTTCTCAATTTACCACGAAATTTTCCTATCCGTGTATTTTCTCTTCGGGCAAGTTACTTTACCGACTTGATGATGAAGGAAATCTGAAACAATAAAAGTGACAGCGATATGTTCATGACCTCATTATTGACAGTGAAACGAATAAGGAGATTGCAAAATAATTAATTTTTTTATTATCTTTGACACATACAATGCACGTTACATTTTAAATTATTATATAATATGTCATATCAAAATGCATTTATCAATCCAAAGTATTTTTTCAAAATATATAAAATTTTGTTGTAGAATTATCGTTTATCGTTCTCTTTATCAGCTGTTGCAGAAACATGACATACTGCCTTCCTCGTCTCATAATTTGTGGTTCGCGACTTTTTCATCACGTCCACCTCTCTCTCACTTTATCATCTTCTCTTTTCATGTACAATCAAGCGGCTCTCCTCCGGAATGGATCAGCTGTAGTTTCGTTGATCGATGTCAATCCGCAGGGTCACCATCGTGTACTCGCTACTCGTTTCATAGCGACTCAAGAAATTCCTAGAACGCGAATGCACTTGCATACTGCCAAAGAAAAAAATTCCGACTCCGTAGATCTTTTATGAAAAATGTAATGGACGTCTCCATTGATGTCAAATAATTTTCATATTGTTTACAAAATTTACACACTGGTAATAACATTTTTTCTCATTTCCATAATCATGTAAAATAATATATGTTTCTAAAACTGACAGTAGTTATCTGAATATTACCAAAACTTGTAAAATCGCTCCTGTTGTAAACGTAATGTTGCCTTGTACTTTGCATCCGGATTTCTTCCAGATCAACGACCACAACAATCGCTTCAGCTCGTCCAAGCTTATCACGACGAGTCACGACCTGACTCGTAACAAACAAAGTTCTACGCGCGATGGGCACAACCATTTTTTTATTTAATGCAAAAATTCCTGACAATTCGTTTATGTCAATTGTCTCAAATTGTATATGTTAGAAATTACTAAATTCCTAAAAGCGTAAAATCGTAATAGCAAAAGCAATTACAAGCTGTTACATCGATGGAATTCAACGTTTAGATTTTTTACTGTTATCGCAACGAAGAATTATTTATTATTATCTATTATATCTATTTAAATTTTTAAACCAAAATTTATTTTATTTAGTATTTGCTTAAATACATATTTAATTTATGCATGTAATTTTAATTAAATAGTGTCAGTGTGAAAAAGGAAAAATAAAGTATCACCTGATACTCATGTTGATTTGTGCAAATGACAAAAATATAGTATTAGCATAATGTATACAAACTATTTCTACTTGGGCAATAATTTTAAATATCTATTTATGAGAATGCGTAAGATGCGCTTCGTTGAGATGTGTCATTCTCTGACGTAACAATATCAAATAATTGCCTCTTAATTAATTATTGTCATTTTTCACAGACTGCGTCGTGTGCTCAGGTATCATTAAACTGTATATTATCGATCAAATTGTACGTAATTAAATCGAGCGACAACTTTCGTGAAATCCGCCGAATTTTATTGGCGTATTGCATATTTTTTATATTACAGCGTTATACCAAGTATATCTTACAACTGGTAATGTTATCTGCGCTACGAACGTTTTGACAAATTTGTCGTCGATCTCTGCTCATTATCAGCACCTCTCGTTGAGAGATAATTACAGCGAACGTGCCTGGAAAATCCGCGAGAGAAAAAAAAACCGGCAAATAAGATTGTATATTATTGTCGCGGAGAAACAAGATTATTTGCCTCTGAATTAAACGAGTTGTAGATACGACACGAAGCGATGGAGTTAAACGACTAATTGTAAGCGCGCATAAATCATATCGATAATTTACAATTTTGCGCGCAAAATGAATTGTGCTATCGAATAATGAACGTTAAAGTGACATTCGACCCTGTCTTACTGTCGATTAAAGATACGTGAATTCTTGCCAAAAGTTAAATTTTCGAAATATGAATAATAATTACTAATTTTGTCGTTCTGTTATGTTGTTATACTGTTTAATTTTGTTATTAAATTCAATTTTCAAGTGGTCGATAAAAAAAACGAGTTTTCTCTTTTAAAATAGACTGTGTAGGAAACCTCGAGTAAAAAATATCTTGGCTCTGGCCCAAGAAGCGTCCCAAGACCCTGCTTTGCACTGAAGGATACGCTCTGCCATCGAGAATGAAAGACAAAAGAATATACAGAAATGATTTTTACAATCTTCGGGGAATGATCGAACGTCATACTGTGTGTGTCAGCAAACACAAGTGTTAATTCGCCGTGCACACCAAGAAGCGACAGCAGATGCGGACGCACATGCACGCGTCAAGGCGTCAAGGTCACGCATATACCGAGAGTCATTATAGCCGAATGCACGTCCGTATCATGTGTAGTCTTTTGCGTCTTGTTGCTTTCGATTGAAATTATAAAACCGGTTGTAGTATGCAAGTATCTAAGTTGCTGCCGGTGCGACCGATGGATCGAAGAAATAATCCACCGTTGAGAAATCTAGGAAATTATTTATTTGCTTAATAAATTTCGTACAAATCTCTTAAAAAATTAATTCGATTATCTTCTTGAAATGGTATCAGAGAAATATGAGAAAAATATCAAAGGAGTATTGAACCAGTCGCGACATATGTATTACTAGATGTCACAATTCAGCTTTCTTTTATTGAATTTATTTCTTTTATGACAACGCATGAATGTGCACAATATGTTATGCAAGTGAGATAACGTATCACAAAAATGTCTTTATAATGTCATCTATATGCATAGATAACGTAATTCGCACGAGATGTCATTAGTAAAAACGACAAACGAACGGAGAGATGTCAACGACGAAATATAAACTTCGCTCCTGTTTGTCCTTTTGTTTTGTCCGCGATTTCACGGCATCAATATCTTCAGTTATTCCCGGAGACTCCGATGACCGTGCAGCCACTTAGAGCATTATTATCTTTCACCGTCGAATTCGTCACTCAGACTCGCGACTTCTGCGAGCGTTGATTTCTTCCACTGCCATTCGGCACTCTCGTTCCAGGACTCCGCTCCAGACCCGGTATCGATGGTTCAAACCCGGCACCATATGCAAAATCGCCTTGGAGCCGAGAACTCCGACACTCCGATTGGCCGTGCCATAAAAGATTCGCGCGACTCTGGAATGCAGCAATGCCATCGCGCAGAGTGGACACGGTTCCATCAGCAGGAACACCCAATAACCCGTGCAGAGATACGGCCCGCATTTCTTCGCGTTATCTTCGCATTCCTTCTGCTTCGCGCTCTCGACCTTGGCACCGTTGTTCCTTCGCCCTTTCCGCACGACTTGCGTCTCGAGGGACGTTTGAACTGGAAACTGCAGCGAGGACAGAGATCTCGGATAACAGAGCGGTGTCTCTTCCTCGTATCTTCTCTTGATTCGTCTCAGCCTCTTCGAGCTCTGATTTTCAGTCGTGCCGTTCGGATCTGTACTTCCGTCGCCGAACGTATCTTCCTCATCGGTAGCGTCTGTTCGTCTTCTCGTTTCTTCGCATTCCTCGTCGTTCAATTCCCACGCACCACCGCCGTGAAGTCTGGCAACGAGATCCACCGCCAGCATGGCGGCATGCCACATGGGATGTCTGTCGAGTCTCGCGGCGGCCACCGTCAGGATTCTCCCGTCCTCGGGATCGACGATCGCCGCGGCGCCGGTGCAGCGGTCGTCGCCGACCGCCTTCAACCTGGCGGTCTCTATTACCAGCGACATGATCCGCTCGATCGCGTGCAAACAATCCTCATCGAAGATCGAGCCGTCGATCAGGCTCTCGATCGTCTGATCAGGATGAAAGTTTACCGGCCAGATCTTCGAACCTTCTCCGGCCTGTAACTTGGTTCTTGGCGCCTTGGCTGGCACCTTCGTCACCTGGAATTTCTCCTGCAGCAAGGAGAGATCGAATCCTCTCTCCTTCAGCTGAGTCTTAAGCTGATTTTCACTGAGAGAAATGTCGTGGCCTTTTTCACGTGATGATTCATCCGAGCGGAGCGGAGCCAGAAGCAGTTTTCCGTTGGAACAGCGCTTCAGATGACCGAATCCCGGCAAAGCGGCAGATATGCTTTTGATCGCGGTGGAGGTGTCCTTCCGTTGCTTCAAAACGCCCACATAAACCTCCTGCAGCGGAGGAGCTTCTGTAAATTCCGAGCCCAGGATCGATCTCGCCGTCCAGCTTCTCGTTGAAGTCTCCATCTTGCGTACCTTGACACTCTTCGGCGACGTCATCTTCCACCCTGAAAAGACGCTGCCTTCACTTATCGTTAGAAGATTTCTCGGTGGTATTTGCAATATACCGCTTTGTTGTCACACTGGGAACAGTTTATCGTTATCTCGTTATCTCGCGGAAATTATTTTTTTTATACCATTATTTTTTTACACGATGTATTTCTTTACACGATATTAAAGTTTGTAAATCCATTATTCAACACAATTATTCAGCTTAAAAATTATATTTTGTAATTTAACTTATTTAGTTATATTTTAACGAATGAAATATCAATAAATACAAGATTCTCTTTAAATTCTATACAGAATGTTTCCGGACAATTTCGATAAATTTAAAAGAGTAGTAGAGCTCGTTAGATTAAACAATTTTGATAAATAACTCGTATTCAGAAATACCTCTTTAAGGAATAAGGCGCTAGGCATTAATTTTTGCCTTGTTGACCGTTGTTTAATTTTTGTAAAGTTAGATTAGAATTTAAAAAATATGTTTTTCAATTTGATTTTGATTATAGCCAAAATTTTATTTGATTATAGCCAATGTTCAAAATAAATGGCGATCTGCAACTTCATTACAAGCATTGTATCTACGGTGTTTGACTGATGCACCCTCTGAAAAATTCCAGAAGTATAGCGAAATAATAACATAATAAATAATCACATGCATGATTTATTATCCTGATGAATTTATTTTGAGTATCAATATGGATTATGTATACTAAACTCTTGATATGCCGCTATAAAAAAATATCAATGTCCGACAGAGCCTAGCACGTTAAGGAAGCATCGTCGAATACGGATTAATAAAAATTATTCAATCTAACGAAATTTAGTACCCTTTTAAGTTTGCAGCCATTGTCCGCAAATATTCTGTACATACAACTATATATGATAACGAAATCTCTCGAATATAAATGTATAATATATAAAAAGCAAAATATGCAAATTATATTGTATATAAATATGACGAAAGCAAGGTCGATGATCGGCATTGAAATACATCGAAATATCAAATAATTGCGAGAATGTTAAGGACACTTTTGCGTGTCACGATCGTAAATATTAATGAGGTTTTCGATGTAAATAGGAAAGAACGGAGATGATCCTTCCGCCGGCGCCGGATGGACCTTAATCGTAATCGTAGTTACCCCGCGGGGACATCTTCTTACGAAGGAGCAGAAGCGATTTTAAATTGCTGTCAACTTGGGCCACGGTCGGATCGATTGTCAGAGTTAGGCGTAATTGTATACGATATCGTTGTCTGTACGAAGAACAAGCGAGACGTCGCATTAAAAAGTCCGAAGTTCGCGCCAAAGTTTCCTTTAATTTCGAATGTGAATACGCCAACCGTGGTCGTTAATGTCTAATCGCAGTGGAGATAGCGCTGCCATTTATTAGGTACGTCGTAATAACGCGAAACGCATCTCCGTCAAGGAAAATCTTTGATCTTGACACGAGCTCGGTTTTAAAGTTCCAGCAAATATATCCTTCAAACGCATGAAACGCGTGAAATATGTATGATTGAGAGGCCTTCTGAATAAATATCAAGAATACGCATTTGTGAAGAGAGACTTGAGATTAATAAAAGAAGAAATAATATAAATTAATACATAAGCCATAGCCGCCTCGATTAATTTATATTATTTTTTCCTCTCTTCATCGCGTAAATAAATTTCTACTTAAAGGTCTTTCGATTGTGTAACTCATTATATTACCGTGTACAGTTTACAGAATTGCAAAAAGCCGCGTTGCATCGCGTCACGCGATTGATAAATAATACTTAGCAAATTCTTACGCTAAATCTCGATTTTCCGAGAAAATCGCGCACGCATGAGCGGCACATAGAGCTGCCACTCCGCTGGAAGACCTACTTTGTACGACATATCAGTCACCTGATAACTGATATCATGATATCATAATAATAACGCATCTTTCGTATCTGAATTAGAAAATTATAAAATTTTTCATTGTTCAGAAATCTAGGAAAATATACGATTAGAATAGAAAAGTCTACTGTGCATTTTTTAATCGTCAAAATTTAGTATCAGATTTCAATTAGTTTAATCGTTATTTAATGAATCGAATTATTATGAGAATATCACCATGATTCGTAATGCAAAAGAAGGATTATTTAAAAGCAATACACTGTATGTTTTTTCGAGATATGTCGTTTCTTATTTTTTATACGTAAAGAATATCCGAATTCGATCTTCCAATTTTAAAAAACCCTATAATTTCCACGATGGTCTCCAATATCGCATGTAACAAAAAGTAGTCGTTATCGGTTTATAATCTAATCTGTGTTTACAGGAATTTTTCGATTAAAGCATATTATTTTTCTGCAACGATCGTCGCAATGTCGTATGTTGATTTAACTTTACAACATTGTTTAAATTGTTTCGAGCAAAGAGAAAGACACAAAAAGAAAACTGACGAAAGCTCATGAGAGAAGCATGCGGATTATTGTTTGTTCATAACAAGTAAAGCATGGTAATCATTACAATGTCCATTTTTTCATAATTATAACAAGGATAATCGAATAAAATAAAACTTAAGCGACTTAATTTTTCCTGAAGACAAAAACTGTGGATTATTTTCAACAGAAATTTTCTATCCGCCTCCGCATTAGATTCCTTTCGAATCGAGCAACATCACGCCGATTCGAAGAGTTTTGCAAACGCAGCGCATTTGAATTCCAGTACAAATCGCACCGCTCGTTTAAGATGGCGTCCGAGATTGCACATTTTCAGAGCGTGATCCTTACATAACAGAAAACGAACAACAAGCGAACGTTAAGCAGAATCCGCTCGACGTCTCCGCCGCGCCGTACGTTCGAAGCACCTGCTTGCGCGTCTCAACGCGCGTCACGCGAGTCGGAAAAATTTTCGGGGGAAATCCAGCTTTTCCAGCCTTTCTTTATTTTTCATCTCCTTTTCTCAGGCAAGATCGCTCGTCGGGGCTCATTCAAACGCGAGCGGGAAATATCGCGCGCAGCGATTTCGAGCAATCGAGTTCGAACGGCAAACATGTCCTCCGCGGCCTTGGATTGCGACACGCCGATCGTTAAGCTTGGCTAATGCTAGCTGTCAACGGCCGCGATGCCGAAAACGGAGCAGCATTGACGCGGAACGACGATGGCCCGTCGTATTTGCGACGCGCCGTCGCGACGCCACGTGTTCGCCATGCGCACGCACGCACGCACTTTACTCGAGGAATTCTTACCTGCTGCTCCGCGGCGGTGCGGCTACGGCCGCACGAAATACGTTCAGGTTTTCCCTCGGTTTTTTTCCTGGCCTCGGCAGTCAAACGCCCAGAGAGATTTGGCGGAAATCGTATTCCTCGAGCGTGGCGAGTTTGCGCTACCAATAGCGACCGGAAACACGCAGAAACACACGTGAGAATTGCGCGCCGGAGGCACCTCGTTTGCGTCGTCGCGACGGCTCGCGTCTCTTTGTGGTATGTAACATGGGCTGTTTATCAGTCAGGTCCACGATGGCGGCGCCTTCTGCCGGCGAGATGAAAGACTTCACGAGAGGCAGGGATATCCGCAGCCTCGGTCATCGATCGTTGAGTCCGTGAAATTTTTATTTTTTTACGCGACGAATGCCGGAATCCGTGGCGAGTCGGTCATGGTCGCCGAAATCGGATTCAAGAGAGGAACTTCATTCAAATATCCGAGTTGTAATGCGATATCATTTAAATTATTACCTAGTGCGTATTTTTTTTTTATAAAGATGATAGAACAGAGCAGTTTGTTGTTACTTTTTTTTTATTACGCCAACTTCATAAAGAGTTTTATATCACAAATCAATTAAGAAAATTATTCAATGATTAAATATTCTTTAAATTTTTAATTTTCTATATATTACATAAGAAGCGTTGCGATATTTATATAATTATTACTTATGTCTTACAAATTATTTTTTTTTCCAAATATTACAAATTTAGCATTAATGCGAGACTAGAAACAACAAAATAATTTACTTAAGTGAAAATATATATTATTCATATATTATCTTTAAATGTTTTGGATTTTAAACCAGTTAAAAAATGTGTTTAATTATCTTTTTTATAATAAGTATTTCGCGCAAATAAATCCGGCGAAATGAAGAGTATTGCGATATTTGCATTAGTAGACGAATTAGCTACAAATACAAGTTTCACATCATTTGTTTTCAAAGGAAAATTTAATTAACATTTTTTAATCAATATTTCATATTAAGAACTATAACACTACAGTCAGCGACGCGGTAACTGGACGCGGTTTGCATATCGCAATATTTCATTAATCGTCGTTAAGTAATTCATTTTTACTACGGGTTGTCTTATCTAATTAAAAAAATTACAATATGTTAGAAACGTTAAATTATATCTGGTATTAGTAATCTAGTTACTAGATCGTAGCTCATAATACTGAATCTTTGCAAAATTGAATGATATGGAATATTAAATAAATTTAAGTATCCATATTGCATATTTATTTATTTATAGTAATTTAGAATTTCTAAGCGCATCCAATAGTTTCTTCAAATTAATTTTAAATTTCTTAAAATAGGTCAAATTTATTTATCTGGTAACGATATTACTCACAAAGTTTACTTCACTTAACATTTCGAATTAATCATATGCGCATTCCCGCATTATCGGATAGAAGCAAATATCGCGAGATCGTCGTCGTATTAACGTATTCATAAGCACGAAGGTGGTTTACCTTGGTCATATAATAGAAAAACCGAGGAAAGCACAAAATTATAATACTATAACCATAACTCTTTATAATAATATTTTATATATTTTTATTTAAAAATAAATTTATTAATTACAAAAGTAAAATATTTTCTTAAAACATTTACAAAAGTTTAAATATTTTATATGTATATTGCAACTGCATTCGGCTTTTTATTATAACATAACGTCGCTTATTTTATCTTGATAACTTATTTTTATTTTATGAAAAATTCGCGTAGGTTTCGAAGTATTCCAAATATGTCACTGCTGCATCATATAGGTAGTCCAGATGTTCCTAAGCATTAAATAAAATTTGTGATTGCAGTGTATATTTTTTTAAATTTCCTATTATTTTTGTTTTAATATCAATGACTAAGATAATTTTTGTATTGATATGATTTTTAATAATATTTTTTTCTATAAAATTTCTATAAAATTGTTATATTACCAAGGAATGAACAAAATCTGGTCTTGATCGTCTGACAGCTCGTACCGCCAAGCAAACATCACATTCTCTTTCAACGGCCATGCGTTCCAGTAGGAAATTTAATGCTAAATAGAGACCGCATCCAGTTACTCCATCGCTGAAAGATTGTAGTGTTATAGTTAATATTTTATGAAATATTGATTAAAAAATACAAATATGTAACTGATTATTTTTTTAATTCTGCCATTATTATTTATCATAAATTGAATAATTATTTGTTCAGAGAAAAATATAAATAAGAGAAAAAATTGTTTATTGTTGAAGAAAAACACAATAATTTGAATTGGTTCTTTCTTCGAGTTTGGAAATAATATTCTAGTTTTTACTGGCAAAGCGTGACGGTGGGTCCATCGCCTCTCGCAATTCTCTCCGCAGCTTGCCAAAAGGTGACCATCGTCATAACCGGTGGTGGTGAACGATCTCTTCCAGGTTTCCATTCCGTCAAACACAATATAGTAACAAACTGTTCTCTCAAAGGTTTCTGCAACAAAGTGTCATCACGCTGAGTAGGTAATATGCGGCAAATGAAAACTATCGAATTGATCTACCTCAGAATTATCAACGAGCAGCAATTTTTGTGACGTATAATATTCCAACTCTACAACTTCCTTTGCTGTAACATTCAAATATGGGGTTGGTTTAAACTCGCCGCTTGCAGGAGCGACGGCGCAGCAAGTCTGAAATTTCAAAAATATATTACTCTCTGTCTGCAAATGTTTTTTCTCTCACAAATACATTCTAAATTAATATGTAGGAGATGCATATACAGGATCTTGAAAATCAGGCGGCTGCAGCATAAGAATGAGTTCGACTTTAAACTCGGCAATCATTCGCCAAAAATCATTAATCGTTGATGGCATGGGAAGCTGTGTGGCTAGATACTGATTCTGAAGTTTTACTCCATCTACGTAAACGGCGGATAGATAATCACTGTCCTCGTCCGATGCCGGATATCTCTTTAAATAGATTCTGCTGGCTTTATCTATAAAATAAAATAATTTGTTTTTAAATATATCCTACATATTCTTTCAATAAAATTTATTGTTAACTATAAAAAATATTTATTTCTTGACTAATCACCATGAAATTAGTCAAAACATAGAATTTTAAAAGCTTATAGAATAAATCTCATAATTAAAATACGCGTACAAACCTAAAATTAATTCCGGAAATCTGTTTTTTGCCCGATTACGCTCCGACAACGGTCGTGGAGACGTAACAACTTGTCGTAGAGCTTCATCTTGCCATACCGTATTCTGTAATCTGAAGATTAATAATTAATTATCGTAACATCATTTTAAATGATTCAAAATTAAACATAAATTTACATCCGAATTTTTAAGGCATACCTTTGCTGTTGAATCGGCAATTGTTTCTTTAACTCCTTAATTCGAGTCAGTAACATCTCATTACACGGCAATGTCGTTGGTATAGAAAGTAAACATTCCATTAATGCCAAATGCGCTAGCAAATATTGCTGTTTATTATCTACCATATTAGCTCTTTCGCTTCTAATGGACGCCGTTTCGGCAAAAACATCGACTAACTAAACAATTTCATTCACAATTAAATCATTATTTTCCACACAGTTTATGTACTAAAGTGAATATTAAATACTGTTAACTAATGCAAGTGAATTATTAAAGCGATGATTAAATGAAATGTCGTTATTACTCCTTCTGCCGCTGCACGATGGAGACAAATGTCGCACAAAATGATGGTCCCGGTTCTTCCAACGCCAGCACTACAATGAACTACTACGGGTCCGTTTCCAGGTGGTGTCGCCAAGAGTTTCTTCAAGTACGTGACTACGGAGTGCGTGTACAATGGCACACCATGATCCGGCCAAGCCGTATAATGCAGATGTTCTATCTGTTGTTGATGTGCATTATTTAATAAAAGTTATTGGGTCTAATATTCGTAAAAAAAATGTCAGTACCTTTCGAGTTTCCTCTCCACAAGTGACGTGGAAAGTTCTAAAGCAATAATCAGCAAAGACATTGTGCTTCGCATTCAGCACAATAATATCGCCGTATTTCTTCTTCTTCCCAATATCCGGCCAATATTGCTCGCACTTAGTCTATAAAAATTGTTAAACCATTTTACACAAAAGAGTAACGATTTAAACTAAAGATTTAACTAAAGAACTTACTTTTCCATTTTCGACCACATTTGCCAACATGCAAATAATAAGAACGTTTTCCTGCCAAATCATACGCCAAAAATCGATGACAGTGTTGGGTTTGGGTCCTTGCGTTGCTATATAACGCTTTTCCTTCTTATAACCCTTTTGAAATAATTATCAATTAAATTTAAAAATTACTATCATTTGTTAATATTAATTAATTTTTAGTTGTTGCGTGTAAACACATAAAAATATTATTTATAATATTTTGCATTTCACAACTGAAATACTTATTGTATTAATGAGGACTTACAGTAATGTAATTAGCGTTGATGTAATCGGAATGAGCGTCATCCGGAAGTTTCTTCAATATCACGCGCGTTTCGTCATCTGTACGAATCAGCATGATATTAAGTCAGCGCTGCGTAAATGTAACTAGTCTATTTTCAACTTTTTACTTACACGCAATAAGATTTCCATATCGATTCTTAGATTTGTTCTGCGGTAATTTCCCGTAATCCCACGGTCGAGTTTGTCCTCTTGGAAATGTCTCGAAAAAAATCACAAAATTATCTTGTGTTGTTATTATAAATTGCATTTATTATAGCTACATATAGATTGAAGGAAATAATATTGTCCTTCACAAATTGTACGTGATAAGGATTTGTATACAATTAAAATTTTATGCTATTTCATTCAACGTGCGAATATCAAGTTCTCGGAGTGCAGTTTAATAGTTCAAAGGTTAAAACCAAAATTGAGAACTCACCTCGTATTGCTTATCGAGCAACCCTGACTGTATCGCCTGTCTAACGTAATCTTCGAATTCTTTCACTTTTACTAACGATGTCTTTTCTTTTTTCTCTTCATTGTCGTTCGCGATAGCAATCGGCAATATTTCCGGAGTGGTTGTCCGCGATAGAGAATGTCTGTCAGAAGGAGTCGAAGGATTTTGCTTTGAATTCGATATCACAGACTTCGTTTCGTGTTCGTAGTTCTCAATATTTTGCGATAGAATCATCTCGTCTTGCGTTAGCTGCTCAGTCAATTTCTGCTTTTTCCTGTAATACAAAATTACACATTGCATTGCAGCAGACGTAAAATTAATCTGTGCTTTATTGAAATTTGATTTGTAGTGTCAGCAGATAATTTTATCTAAAGTGCTTACACGACAAAGATTAATAAATGTAGCCAGCAGTATTGCTCTTTTAAAAAGGCGAACAAAAAATATTACCTTCGATACAAGTAAAAAGTTGCACCTGCCACAACGAGAATTAATATAATAAGTATGAGCCATGCTTCGTAATGCTTCGGTGGAACTTCACCGACGCGGACTGATTTTGCAAGTACGATCGGCTCAGTGGACGAATTCCGTTCAGTTACGATAATCACTATTTCATAAGTGTCATCAGGTTTTAATGGACAATTTCTTGCAGTACCATAAATATTATTGTCACCAATTCTGAATCGTCCGCCAGCGAATTCACTCGTCTGTCACAATTGAAAGCAAAGATAATTGATTTCAAAGATGTACACTTTTGAGAAAAAAATGACACATAAGTATGTTGTAATATTAACGAAAATGATATCTGTAAAATATACACTATCATATGTACGTATATAATTATATATATGTATATATATGTATATATCATATATAAAATGAGAGAGTACATATATCATATATATTATGTGGCGCGTGCGTGCGTGCGTGCGTGCTGTGTGTGTGCGCGCGCGCGCATGCATATGTATTCCATAGATAACATTTTTGATAATATCGCAATTGTATTCATGTTAATCGTATTTCAATTATATATGAAGCAATATTATAGTTAATAGTTTTCATAGTTAAATTTAATTATTACAATTAATTATACAAGTTTTATTCATGATATAAAATTTTTATGCTTAGAATTCAGAACTATTTTGTATAAATGTATACATACCGAAACTTCAGCAGCTTGCCAAGCGTTTTCGTTCATCTTTACGCCCGCTCGCGATCGTAGTTTCTCAGGTACTTCTAAATGTTCCTCACAGAGATTAGGGCCCTTTACAATGATATGCATTGTGCTGTCTTGAGTGTCATTTGAGACAGTCGGTATATTTAATAAAATTGTGGAATCGGATTTGTCTACCATGACGTTCAGAATATCATCAAAAACTGCGGTTGAAGGTGTACGAATTTTCACGAACATTGTAGGGCTGGATATATTCTCAACTGTTACAGCTTGAATATAGATAAAGTATTGCGTTGATGGAAACAAATACAATCGCTGATTGTAGTTACGCATGTACTGTGTCACCGGGTACTCGAGTATTTCGTTTGCGAGTGATCGGGAAAGACGCCTTCTCAAATTTGAAGAAGTTTCTTGTATTTGAATGCGAAAATATTTAAGATGACGACCTGTCCTCCAAGGATGAAGCCACTTTAGATCAATCACGCTGTTGTTATTAATCGTAAAAGTGTAATTCCCAGGTGCATCCGGTGCTAAAATGTACATCCGATGCTAAATATAATCTGATTTTAATCTTTATATTTTTATATAGAAGCAATAATAAAATTAATTTGCAATATATTTTGAGGAAATTTTAAAAAGCTACTAAATAATTGTTTGCACATAATATAGATAAGTTACAATAACAAAAACTTCTTGTTAGCGATTATTTTTAAGTCACAACAAATGCTTATAGTAAAGATATGTTAGTCACAGCGAAAGATAATAAGAAAAGAAAGATTGCAATGTAATAATGTACAACATTATTAATGTCTTATAAATTATAATTAATTTCGTCAAGAAAGTTCGTAGTACTAAGCTTTTATAAAATTTTTAAATTATTTACTAAGTTTTAAATTTTACTTGTATTACGAAGCATGTCTTTAGTCACGAAAATTGGAGGGCCATGTTCAGTAACATTTATGTTGTACGCGAAAACCTGTAAAATATATTTTGTATTATATGATTTTTATGCACTTAATTTTTTCATCTATTAAGTACGCGACATAAATTATTTACGTTTACTAGAAATATTAAAAATATTGTGGGACTTAATATTATATTTTACCTTAATTTCTTGAGTAAATATAGGCGATTTTTCAACAATTTTGCAGATATAATTATCCCACAAGTCACAAGACTCATACAATTGAACTATTGCAATAACTGATGAGCAATGTCTGTTATTTGAATTACAAAACTGGACAACATAATCTCGCAATTTTCCGTTGAGAGGTGGACGAGGACTTTGCCATCTCAGGTGTATCATCGGAGACATTTCA